GCTCGCTTTGGTGCCGATGGACGCCCGGGATATCTTGTCATGCCAAGCTGACCGAATGCCTTACAAGTCTGCGGCTGCTCGAGGCTCAACAAAGTAGACCTTCGCTCGCTTTGGTGCCGATGGCCGCCTGCACAACCTTCCTACCACTATCAATGCCATACCTCAGAGACAACCTGCTGGTCCGATGACTGTTGAGGTGAAAGCCCGCTGGATCTAAAGGTCATGCCGAACATGTCCAGATATCGCTGTGCTGAGATGGGAGTGATGGCTTGAACCCGGAGTGCATCGATGGCGGAACGTTCATTGGGTTCAATCAGGGCGCCAGATGACGGGCAGTTGTCAAGCTCAATGGTGGTCTGGCAAGTCGGTATAGGTTGATGTTACTGGATAGCCAATCATTACTTCGAGACATCGACTCGTATAGTTAAAACCAAGCCCAGTTTTGCTGCTCTCTCACCATTTGAGAGATGTTGTCAAGGGCTCGATAGAGATATCGCTTTTTTGGCTCTCCGGTGTCACGCCTAACTCCTGGACCATTGTGTACCATGTTACCCTAAGCCAACCGATTCCTTTCCATATCCTGGACCGACCGTGGTTACTTTGACCATCGCTTTCAGGGTCCCTCTTCGCTGCGTTGCAACCGCCCACTTTTGGCCGGCATTACACGGTCATCATTCTCCACCAGCTCATAATATACCGTGACCTGGTGGTAGACTGGCTGAGCAGTTCAACCCTCTCGACAACCTCACGCATCGACTTCAATTTCCCAAGCCAGCAATCCAGCATCAAGGCTCCCATGGGCAGATCGGCCACATCGGGAAATTGGTTAGCTTTCGTAGAGACGCTCGACGCGCTCTCGTGCGTCTTTCATTCGCTTCAACTTCATGGTATGGGGGCCTGCCGGTCACAATTTTCGTAGATGACACAACCCAGGGCAAAGATGTCGGTCTGCACCGTGGCGGCGCGCGGCGTGGATGGCTTGTAGCTAAACCACTCGTACGAGGGAAGTCGGCCCTTCCCCATCAATGCTGCAGCCTTTCGAAGTCGATGAGTTTCAAATTGCCGTCGTGGGCGATGATCATGTTTCGACATCCCACGTTCAGCCTGGATGACGGTGTGGTCGTGGAGGTGTTGTAGCCCCGTAGCCGCCTGTTTGACCCAGCGATATTTTGTGCGCAAGGGAATGGGCACGAGCGCTCGTTTGCTCGGAGAGTCGAGCCCGAAGGGACTTGTCCGCGCTCGAGGACGATGGAACCGTCATCCAGTGCGCCTAGAAATTCCGCAATTTTGGCATGGCGGCCCAGGCGGTCGTAAAACATCCCGCTCGGCACGAATCTCGTCGTTCGTTGTCGCCCTCGTATCTTTTCACCACTCGTCGCGCATCGAGGGCGTACACATTGCCTGATTTTTCCCACGTCGATAGCAATCCAGTCCCCTCTATAGCAGAAGCTGACGGAAGGCTGCGCTTATCCACGTGTGTCGTCTTCAGCATGAATATGCAGCACATGACGTTGAATGATACAGTAGCTGAACTCCTCAACCCTTTGCGTCCCAAACGTGTTGAACAGCCGTTCTCGGAGCTGCAAACAGGACCACTTTCCCTAGACGTTCAATTGCTGGCGTTCCTTCTCTGGAGTGAATGGATCGAAGACCTTGACCGCGCTGGTGAAAGGCCCTGTGCCGTACAAAAAATGGACTCACTTCCGGGACCCATCGATGCATGGAGGGTTTGGCCCAACGAGAGAGGATTTTTGCGGAAATGTGCTCTGGCCAACGAGACCAGAACTTCAAGAAAGTCTTCGCTTTCGCTTTTGTATCATCCTCCAAAGATTGAAGAGGTACTCCGCGGCAGAACCCGCAACGATGGCTGTAATGGCGACAACATTCCATTCCCTACCGACGCATTTCACCAAGACAGAAAGGCGACCAACCGACTCAAGTCATGCGCCAACATGGACGTAGGGTGCCCACCACAATGGGTATCTCCTCCATCTCGACCAGACCTGCAGTGTCGCCTCATGGACCGCCTCACCTGTCGATCGGTTTCTCCTCCCCCAAGGACGGCGTGGATCTGCGTGGAAAATGCCCTCGCCATCTCCACGCAGACCTCACCCACGGACAGCCACATCGCAGCTACGACATGGCCAAATCCGGCCACTTGGGTACCAGAGGAGCTCCCTAAAAGGTTTGGCTCTGTCTGAACAGCGACAGTTGCGTGAGTATAATGATGACTGAATGTCCTCGCGATAGTGGACGCGCAGGGTGGTCTGAGGTTCGTGGTTCCTGAATGGTGCTGTCGCGTTCAACGGAGCCCATAGTTTCAAGTGAGGCAATCAACGTTTCTCTCTAGAAATTGAGAGCTAATTCAACATCGCGCTTGACATCAGAGAGATGCGCTGATAGGACGGGCATCCCTGACCTGGCACGGCAGCCTGCCTTTGGTATCCTTGATGTTTTCAGCGGCGCCATGCTTGTGGAGGAGTTGGACAAGTTTGTCGTTACCCTGGCGATACGCCACGTGGAGCGGAGTTCCAACCCCGTTCACAATGTCATAAAACGCTTTGGGTTTGCCTTCGAATTCAATGGCATTGGGTGATGCACCATTGTTTAAGAGGAGTTGAACAACCCCCTCTTCACGATTGTTCTCGATGGCAGAGTGCAGAGGATAGCCCTGGTCGGCCGCTGCACCCAGTTCGAGCAGCAGGATGAGCGTCTCCAGGGGAGTGGACTGGGCAGCGATCGAGAAGGGGGTACAGCCGAATTCGTCCGGGGCATTGAGATCGGCACGATGTGCAACGAGCCACCGGACAAGTTCTGGATCAGCAAAAGCACCGCTGCCAGGGGTGTTAGAGCCACTTGTTGCTCAAGGGCGTGAGAGAGGGAAACTCACGTCCAAAATGAAGAGGGTTGAGCTTGGGAGGCTGCTTTGATATCAAGGCCGTTGGCCAACATCAGTTCGAGTATCGCGTACGAGCGATTTTGGACTGCGACGGAGAAGTCGAAGGTAGAAGGCTGAACCCCTCTTGATAGGAGAAGATGCACAATCAGCAGAGAATCATTCTCGACCGCAATCTGAAGGGCGTGGAATCGGTCGCAAGCCACCTTATGTTCTGTGCTGTTGGACGTAAGGTTTAGGACGTGATCGACTCTCTCAAGATCACGGGCGATGGTAGCCTCTGTTAGGGGGCCGGTAAACCACATTGCTGTAGAGGCAGCCGCGGTGATATTGAAGTTTTGGAATGAAGCTCAAATTTCCTGGAGTACTAACTAGTACCTAGGGGCTGGGACCAAGAACTCCACTTCGGGGGACCAAGTTGGCGGGAGAGTCGGTGTCTTGTGTTTGAGAATATTTTCACGAGAGGCCATGGCTCAATTCTGACAAATTTGACAAATCTCGTCAGGACCCTTCGCAAGTGAATAGAGAAGGTCAACTTTCATGGGCGATGGTAGAGGTGTGGTGGTCGTCCAAGGTGACGAGTGGCTTCAACCTATCCAGGTATCTATACCTTTGAGAGGGCCCTTGGCCAATGTCCAGTGTCCATTGTTGCTCGAGAAATGCGTGACGCTCTCATCCGGGCATTTGGGATACAGTCTGAGGGGATACATGTTCAAATGGTCTTTCAAAGGATGAAAACACGATGAAGCCGGTGCGGGAGGAGGCATTGCTGCCATCGTGACGCCGCCGACGGACTTCCCTCGCAGGGTCCCTTGAGCTCGCGTCGTGGAAGCACTGAAAGGTGTTGATTGGCACTGGCACGTGACTGGGAGTGAGCCGAGGCACATTCGACTAATTTCAACATTCAAGTTCTGGAGCTGTGGGTGTAAGTCTTGGCCAGCAGTCTTTGGTCCCGACTAGGTACCTACCTAGCTACCTAGCGAGGCAGGTTAGGCGAGTGACACTACGGCACTTATTGCCACCATAGGTAGTCTCTCCACCTTCAGTAGTTGCTAGTTAGTTAATCAATCCATTCAGTTGGTTCTACAGAACATTGGGTGGCTTCGGCGGCAACTCAAGGGGGGATCAAGCTTGGGCCTCGAGTTCACCTGATTGGTCGTCAAGATGGGGTGAAGGCTGTCGAGCCGCCTACGGCAGAACCCGTCCAGTCGCTCTTTTCCAACCCTTCACATCCGACTGCCTGCCCTCCTAACCACCACGATGATGGCGTTGGCCTTTCCACGTGTAACAAGGCCCCAACTACATTCCTGGTCTCCGACCGTACCCTGGAACTACCTGATTACTCCTCGACTCACCAGGCGACTTGAACAGGTGTGGATGGCCAGCTCCGCACGGAGGATGTCTATTCAGCCTCGCACCTTTCCGAGTGACGGCTTCGTCGCCCTCCCGAAGCATGAGAAGTTCGAGGAGGAGAGACTCGTTGGCTACAAAGCTGAAAACTTCTATCCCGTCCGACTGGGCGAGGTCTTCGAGTCGAGGTACCAGGTCGTCGCAAAGTTGGGCTTTGGCACGGCCTCTACCGTCTGGCTTTGCCGGGATCTGCAGTAAGTCAACTTTGGTGCCCCGCGTTTCCGTCGCATCCTGCTGACTGCTATCGAGTGAAAACGCCCTGGTCACTCTCAAGGTCTGCATCGTCGGAGAAGATGATACCCAGGAATTGGCCATTTCTCACCATATCAAGTCTATCAACGCGGAGCACCCTGGTAAGGAAAGGCTGCGCGGGTCGCTGGACGACTTCCGTATCAGAGGTCCTTATGGATTTCACCAATGTCTGGTTTTCGAGACACTAGGCGTTACCTTGACCAATTTGAGAGATTTGTTCGAGAACAGGGCTCTTGAAAAGACACTCTTGCAGAAAGTTTTGTTCATGATTGTGACGGGCCTAGACTTCTTGCACCAGGCGGGGGTAGTGCATACAGGTCTGTCCCCTTCTCTGGCCACATCGCAGCGTGTTAGTTAACAAGTATCCTAGACCTATCGCCCAACAACATCCTAGTCGGGGCCGACGCTATTGCGACGTCTAAAGTCGAGCAGGCCGAACTGGCTAGCCCATCGCCGCGTAAGGTTTTAGCGGATCGCACCATCTATCTTTCTTATACCATGCCAACGACCTACAATCCGCCAGTTATTACCGATTTCGGCGCTGCTCGCTTGGGAGATCCGGGGCAAAAGTACTCTGGCGACGTCATGCCGGGGGTTTTTCGAGCGCCTGAGATTATCGCTGGTATAGAATGGGACTCGAAGATAGACATCTGGTCTGTTGGAGTCATGGTACGTATCAGAACGCCCCAAGGTTCATTTCATGTGTCGCTTTTGACACATGGGTAGATCTGGAGCCTGTTCGAAAGCGGCAATCTCTTCTGTGCCGTCAAGGACGGCCATTTGAACGATGAGCTCCACTTTGCTGAGATGGTCTCTCTCATGGGACCCCCTCTGAAGCAGTTTTTGCATCGCAGCGATCGATGTCGTCAGTACTGGGACTCAGAAGGTAAGGCTTCCCGGTTCTAGAATTGGTAGTGTCTCTATATCGCTTGGAATAGCCTCATTAACGATCAAAGGCAACTGGATTGCTGCGACACCTATTCCCGACCAGACTCTTGAGTCGCGTGAGACACGTCTGGAGGGCAAGGACAAGGAACTGCTCCTAGCCCTCGCTCGCAAAATTTTTCGTTGGCTTCCGGAAGAGAGGCCGTCAGCCCAGGACCTTTACGAAGATGAGTTCCTTACTCAGTTCGTGCCCAAGGACCAGCAAGGTGCTTCATGAGCACCGGAAAGTCCGTGGCGCTGCATGCGTGGCCATGGGAGGCGGCGATGGCGGAGGTCCTGTGAAGGCAAGGAATGGGTAAATGGAGGCAGTCGGTCGGTTAGAACTTATTATTCGCAACCTGTCGACAGAGCCAAACTCAAGGATGGGATGCGACATCCTCCAAGAAACGATTGTCTGATCAGCACAGTAGACGAGCACAGCAACAGCCGGTATGAGGGAGGGACCCAAATGTGCGGATCGATAGGTATGTGCACGCAGAATTTCCAGCCGTCAATGAGGAGCACGTAAGAGAATACAGCCGAGCCGAGACCAAATGGAACGGATACAGCTTCAATGCGCAATGTTTCGTCGACTTGGGTCGCGGATGAATATGTTCCGGAGGGAGAGTGGCGGCCGCGGCACCGTGTGCGGCTCTGTGTGGTGAGCAGGCAGGAACTCTGTCCCCTTACCCGGGATCAGCGAGCATCATATCCTGCAGCGTTGATGGAATGACTACAGGAAAACGGCACCATTCTACCCCCAGGCCGAAGCCGTAAAACGGGGGGTAATTGATTTATTTTTTTTGGTTCATGTCGGAGCCAGCGCAGATCCGATCCTGATGTTGCCATCCAAGAAACACAAACTCGAAAACGATCTTGGCCATCTACCAAGTCCACCACTCGTCTCGACGCGAGCCTCCCTGCAAAACGATCTCGCCGCACACAACGAAGGAGACTTAGAAGGCTAGAGAAGCCGGGGAGGCCTAGGAGACAGCGGAGGCTAAGTAGTAGACTCAGGCCTCATCTAGTCTCGCAGAAGTCATCCTTAATCTCCATGGAGAATCTTATCGGCGGAGAACTACGAGCAGCGTTGCGAAGAGCTGTTTAGAAAGCGGCACGGGTCACCAGGAGCTATAGAGGAGGGCTACGATCAAGCGGCAGACTAAGAAGTGACACGGGATATAGATTCCCCCTTGATCGCACGGCATAATGATGGATCCAGCCTCGGAAGGCGAGATAGAGTTGGCTGAGATTTCCCCGGGAGACTCTGATTTCCATTATACAGAAGGAATATCTCTTTCGAATTCGATACGCATCCTCCTCTAAGAATAAAATTCAGCCACGGCGCTTGGAAAGGGGGCCTGATGCTCTGACTGCAGGTGCTGAATTCAACAGGCCGACCATCTCGACCAAGTCTTCGCAAATCGGATGATCATTTCCAAGACACACCCTATTGTTCGCCAACGTCTTCGTAGCCCACTCAAGCGTTAATTGACTGTCCTGCAAGCGAGCAACAGCAGTAGCGAGCGGCATGCTCATAACTCGAGGAAATTTAGCATCCTTGAACCATGGATAGAAGTGTGATTCGCGCTTACGTGAGACCGAGAGCTTCGTGGCAGACCAAGATCCTTTTGCAATGCCTCCATCTTGCTCAAAATCCTTCAAGGTACTTTCTTTGTCCGAGGATATTGCTCATGGTTGGATACTCGTTGGGGCAAGTCTGGAGAGTTCCTGTCTTTTCTGATCCATCGACGTCGCGAAATGAGAATCCGAACACGGCCTCACAAAGACATGAAAAGCCACCTTGCCAGTAGAGCGTCCGTCTCCTGGCGCTGATCCTTCGGCCGAAGGAAGTCAGGCACATATGAATATGCGAGCTCTCTTCGCCTTCTTTAATGATCCCTCACGGCATGAATGGTCAGAACACCGTCGCCCAAATTCGGATTCTCGGCGCATTTTGTGTTTGGAAGACATGAGTGATTGAACCGGGAAGGGAGGTAGGACACCACAATTGTTCCCGTATGGCAAGTACTTTTGTTTAACCGATAGATCGCAAGCACTTTTGCCATCCGGGTGTCTCTGTCGATTCTTCCCCAGAGCGGGATTCATGAGCTCGTACTCCATGTCACATTCCAGGTGGTGCAATTCGAGGTACTTCTCCTTTTCCACAGGCATGAGTTTGCTGAAAGCTTTCCAGATTGTCATGGAGTCCCCGGCTCGGTCAGATTTCATTAGCGGGGCTTCCGCGACAATTCGTGTGCCTCGAGGAATATTGACGTTGGCAAAGACGCCGAGGCCTTTTTGTCCCGCATTTCTGATCTGGATCAGCGGGTGAGAATTCGCAGTCTGCCTCTGTTGTTAGCAAAAGTCTACGCGGTTTGCACTGGACGTCATACCCCGAACCATGTTTGGGTCAGCGGTCTCATCGTCAGCCCATGGGGTCTTGTGTCCACGAGAGCTTTGCGCCTGCGCCTGAAAGTGGACTCTTCTACGTAAGAGCAATAATGGCAACCTTGTATGGTAAGTTTAGAAAGGCAGGCGAACGAGAGAACAAACACCAAGAAGCCCTTAGGTTGTGGAGTGCAGCATGTTGAGTAAGGAAACGCGTGGCAAGAGATGATATTCTCAACATGGAGATCGAGGGTGACCAACACTTGTGCAGACAACGACTACTGTATCGCTCCTTGTACGCATCTGGAATGCTGGTGGTCAGATCCGCGGGTTCGTGCCTCTTACGAAACTGAAGGATTGGCATTGTCGCTCATTTAAAGCCAACCATTTCGCCCGAAGCTATACCGACAACGAGTCCGGAAGTGCCAAAGGCAAATCATTGGCCTGGTGTTGGCAGGCACTGTTCTTCAAACCTTGAATGTCTCACCGGTTGATAGACTGGTCATAGTTGCCTGTGCGGCGGCTATGGCGACCATCCTTGTCAGGCGGTAGGTAGACATCAAGCGTGTCCTCTGTTGCTCGTCAATGGCGGTGCAAGCAGCCATTATCTATGCTGGGATGGTATGGGATGGCCACATACCTCATTGCCAACTCTACGACCGCGCCTGCAGAATGAAACACCAGCGCGCAGGGCTCATCCAATAAAACCGTGAGTTGTGTCTGCTTCTAACGTTTGGGTCAAAGGACCTCGTACCTAAGCGCTTGAGTATGCAACTGCCGGCTTCGAGGGATTGGGAAGCGCGTCGAGACAGTCAAGCGGCCTCTCAGGAAGCAGGATGCCGGCTCGTGGTGCCATACTGGGGCCTTGATCCGGCCTATCATCTGCTCGTTGATGCAGAACGTCCCGTCGTCCCCTCAAGAACCGAAGCTTATGCAACGCTTAACAGTCTGAAGTGACATTGAGCCTGACCGCCTCTCGGGGGACCCAATGGACCCAATGGAGACCGTGGAAAGGAATGACCCATCGACGATCTCGACTCCTTCCGGATCTCTCGGCACGACCAAATGCTGAGGACCGCATCGACTGTTGTTCAAAGTATAAAAGGGCAGCACGTCGTGCCTTTTTTTCCAACTGCATCTTCCTTCCCTCAGCTGCATCGATCCTCGGAATCTTCCCCGAAGATGGTCTTCCGTCACTGACCAATAACAACTGGGTTGCTGGGGTGGGGGCAAGGGATTGAACATGGTTGGATGTGTGAGACACCACCACAGTGGGTGACCAGTGGGTGACCACTGACCAGGGCATTGAGGTCCGTTGTCGTGACGGAACATGTACATGACATGAGATGAGAGTGGATAGCACATTCAATGGCATGGCTTCCAACTATGTTTTGCTGTGTTCACCCGATCATGCGGGGTGTTGTGGTTCAAGACCACAATCGATGCATGCGCGTAGACACAGCAAAACCGTAATGATTTCGTAGACGAGTACGGAGAACCTCGTACTCGGTACCTCGTATGGCCTCCTTATGGTGATGAGAGCCGAAAGGTTGGTTTGTTGACTTTTCCATTACGTGTGCATGGCATGCACAGACACAGATGGGTGACACAGATTTCGCCAACGAATCCAACCCATGCACACCGCAATTTTCGCTCCTTGCCTAGGTACCTAGGTAGGTGGGTAGGTGCTGTGGAGAGGAGGCTGGGCAAGCGGTGAGCAGGTCGGTGATTCGGTGAGCGAGTCGCCGATGCCCGTAATGAAGGGGCGCGAGGGCGTTTAGAGGTGGGTTTAGGGGTGGGGGAATGTTGTTTGGGGGGCCTAGAGGGGTCTCGGCGTGTCAAGGAGGCCAAGCCGCTAAAGAGCAGCTCAAGGCTCTCGTGCGCCGTGGCCCTTTAAAGAAGCCCATCCTCACGCCAAACTGCAGATCCACGGATTTCATTTCCCCTTCATTTTTACAGGTCATTTGTGGGGTTTCTGCTTTCTTTCCCTTAGTTTTTGGATAGGGCGTTTCTTCTCCTTCTACCTTTTTCCTTTGGAGTTTTGGGTGTTCGGTTCTGTGCGTGTCCGAGAAGCACATATCCATGCTCCGGATCAAAAACTCTCTCGCCTCTAAAAATTTCCAAGAATCGGGCTGGACACAGCAGTACTCTCTTCAATGAACTTGTCGAGGACTCCGTGGTGCTTTCTCCAATATATTCACGCAGCTTCGCCGATGACTGCACGCCCCCAGCATACAAGGCGCCGCGTCTGAGAAACCTCTGGCTTTCTCCAGGAGCCAATGTCACGGTTTCCTCATCTCGGAAACACCTGAGTGCGGCTGCCCACGAGTTTCGTAAGCTCGGTGGTTGCGAGGAACTGTCATGACAGCTGTCGGTCTCACAATTCGCGAGGCCACACACCCAAAATCCCGCGAGAACGTCCGATAACCTCCGACGACCGAGACGAAGAGATCACGACAGTGTTCATGAAAGCAAGAAATAAATCAATATATATATTATGCATATCCACACATGCGTCCAGCCTGGATCGGGTGAACACAGCAAAAAAGACGGCCACCGACAGCGAGTGCCCGCGGCGTTCGCAGCCCTTTGCCATCCCTGGCGAAGATGTGAAAATGTTCCCCTTGTCGGAACAGGCACAGCCGTGGCCTGCCCTGCTCTCGTGGCCGTCCCCAGATATCGCGTGCTGTCTCCTGGTGGAGACTTAATTTAAAGACTCCAAGGTCTTCGAGAAGAAAATACTCGAGGTCCTGGGAAATGTCCACTGCGCGGATGGCTCATGCAGAAGCCATCCGCTATGGCTGTGGTCCTGGTGGTTGGCGGATAGCACATACAGAAGCTATCCGCTACCGCCTCACAGACGTCGACCAAACCACAGGTTGACGTCAACGGCGGGGTTAATAAGTTGGATGACTCCAGCTCGGTCGGAGTTGTCGACAACTCTTTACCCTCTTCTGGCCAATCGAAGGCCGCAGAACAGAGCAGGGAGAATGCGCCAACTAACAGTTACGCACCACCTGCTCTCGCAGTTCCAATGGGAGAGGAGAAGACACAACCTAGGCAGGTTGTGGATGAGGAACCTGGGTCATGTCGTTGCAAAGATGTGGCCCAATGCTCTTTCCTCGCCGCTCACTTCTTGTTGGACTCCATATGTCCTTGGTTTGCTTCGTTGGACGTATGCTTGTTTCTGCAGCTGTCTGAGCCACAAGAACCGCACAAACTCAAAGGCGGATCGTGTGGCTCGGACGGCTGCAGAAACAAGCGTACGTGCAACGAAGCAAACCAAGGACATATTGGGTCCAATAAGAAGTGAGAGGCGAGGAGACAGAACAACAATCAACCTCGGAAGCAGAAGTTGGAGACCGCGAACGACCAGATTCCACCAATCAGAGCACGCCATTTGCGGACGACTAACTGATGAGTTGACTACAGTCTGACTGTCGACTATTGTCTCGACGTTGCCCCCAATCAAGGGCATGTTAAGACGCGAAGGCTGCTATCGGCGTATTGCTCGGCAGCCAAGGCCAATTCGGTCGATCGAATCCCAGTTCTGCGAATCCAATTTGCACTATGGTATCTGGACCTTTGCTGAAAGAGATACAATCGTTTGCACCGATGAGATATGGATTATCTCAGTCACGACTTCAAAGAGGTATCTTTCAGCGCGTCTCTTCGACGTTCTGCCGCACACAAAAGTGCGGTTCCATAGTGGCTGGCTTCTCTATGCAGAAGCTATCCGCTACATTATAGTCCTGGTGTCGGTGGCTTCTCTATGCAGAAGCTACCCGCTACCGTGCGGTCCCGGTTTCGGTGGCTTCTCATGCAGAAGCTATCCGCTACCGCGCGGTTCTGGTTCCGGTGGCTTCTCTACGCAGAAGCTATCCGCTACATTGCGGTCTTGGTGTCGGTGGCTTCTATGCAGAAGCTATCCGCTACCGTGCGGTTCTGGTTTCGGTGGCTTCTAAATTGCAGAAGCTGTCCGCTACATGCGGCGAAGGATAAAGGCGGAGATTCGAGGCTCTACAGAGGGACTACTCGAGGCCCTCCAAATCGACGACTCGAGGGCCTACAAAGAGACTGCTCTCGTCAACAAGACGAGCGAGAATATGCTCGTGAACAGGATGAGGGAGTCTATGCTCGTGAACAGGACGAGCGGGATTACGCTGTTGGGCAAGACGAGACTACACTCGTGAACAAAACGAGACTCGGCTCGTGAACAAGATGCCACCAAGCAGGCGAAAATGTGGAGAGAGAGATTCCCTTCTCCCGAACCACCGCAGAATCAACAGGGAGAGATGCCTTTCTCTGGTTCCGTGCGGGGGAGTACTGGCAAGTGCTGGTTCAGAAGAGGATCCGGATTGCACATTTGGCCAAGTGCTAGATGCCGTTTCAGCGCACTCGAGAGGATGGAAGAGCGCAGTTCGACATTATTGTTCGATCCGGAGCGAAGAACTGCGACCTCGAGTGACATTAGAAGGCAAGGGGAGGACATGTTCGAGGGGCTCGGTACCCTAACGGACGCTTCTAACGCATCTCGAACGAAGCACGAACTCAACTTGTTACGAGTTCAGATGCCACGGAGGCCATATATAGCCTTGATTCCAGGAACAAGGCGATATATCGAAGCGCGGAACGGAGAGGGTCACTTGTCCGTTCGACAAGCGCTACACGGTGGGGTTGGCCTCACCGTTCGACAGGCGCTACACGGTGGGTTTGGCCTCCACCGTTGGACAAGCGCTACACGGTGCGGGTGTCCTCACCGTTCGACGAAGCGCTACACGGGGGGGTTGGCCTCCCGTTCGACAGACGCTACACGGTGGAGTTGGCGACCACCGTGCGACAAGCGCTACACGGTGCGGGTGGCCTCTTCCGTTCGACGAAGCGCTACATGGAGCGGTTGACCTCCCCCGTTCGACAAAGCGCTACACGGGGGGTGTTAGCCCTCCGTTCGACAAAGCGCTACACGGGGGGGTTGGCCTCCCGTGCGACAAGCGCTATATGGTAGAGTTGGCCACCACCGTTCGACAAGCGCTAC